AGTCTTGGCTCAGCTGCATCCACTTCTCCGACTTTCTGGAGATCACGTTGGTGGGCACGCAGTCCCTGCCGCTCAAGGGGTCACGGAAACACCTGCATCGCCCATGCTCAGCTGCACTGTTTTCACCTGCCGCGCTCGACTATAAATTTCGTTACCGGCTTCAAGAAACTGCTATCCAGGACCGTGCCCTCCGACTATCTCAGGGAGAATTCTCTCTTGGGAAGAGTAGAACCAATGTGACAGGGACTCAGGAATGTTTCACTTTTTTCTTTTTCTATCTCCGTAGGATAAGTCGGTAAACTCTGGATTTCAGATCCCTTCTGAACTGAGTCTAAAGTTAAGGGAACAGGTGAATGCGTCTGATTGATGAGGTCCTTTAGAGCTCTGTTTCTGTGCCTTTAATACTAAGACTCGTTTCAGGACGTGAAAACCAGTTTCAGAATATAAAAGCTTTAAGTACAAACAGATAACCGCAGACACACATGTGACCGTGTCTCTGCTTTAATACCAAAGAATAATACAGATTTCAACAGTGTTTCGTTCAGAGAAGAAAATTATAAAGATTACTATTAAACTATATGTAAAGAATTTATTTACATAATCTAGGTGCACATCTCCGAGTTCTAAGGCTCTACTCACACTTGGTCCCAAATTGTTAGAATATGCCTCTCACAGTTCTGATCTATTTGATTACCTTGACTATGGACTTGTCCTAATGCAACCATCCAAACTCAAGAATGGACAGGCTGTGAAGTGACAAGATTTGGGTCAGCCTAAAAACCATGGAAACCTTGAAGGCGATCTTGAATTGAAGTGGACAAGTAGATAAATGTTTGAAACTTTCTTGTCCTGAGAAACATATCTGTAAATTAATTTCACTCTAAAGACTATGTCTGGATTCCTGGAAGTTAGAGATTCAGTATACTAGATCAGACATAGTATTGATTTCTGTGTACACTCTCATAGATTGTAAACATTTTTAGAACAATCTCCATTTTTAATTGATCCTTGTTTCTTCATAATGCCGGTGTTGTGCCAGGTACTGTTCCAAGTGCTGGCTGATCACCAAATCTATTTACTCTTCTTCCTCAGTACAGAGGAAGTGTTGTGTTCCCTAGCCTCCCTAGCAGTTAAGTGTAGCCATGTAGATTTAGCTCATTAAAAGAAAAAAAAAGAAAAATCTCCCATAAGCAATCTTCCATGCTTTTCCCCTTCAATGGCCACATGCTGAAGATGGCAGAGCTACAAGTAAAAGGAGCCTGGGTCCCTGAATTACCACTTGATGGAGAGTCATCTGATCAAGAAACTTTGTTTTGAACTTTACATGTGCAAAGTAAACTCGAGTTATGCTTAGCAGCTAGCTTTAGCCTAAGCAATACACTTGGCATTCATTAATGAA